TATGCTCTTTCAAAAAACACTTTAATGTACAGTTTGTATTGTCTTGATATTTGATTGTATTGGCATAAATTTAAAAGAACACAGAACCAGGCTTTATCTTAGTCAATACAAACTAAATGCTTAATGCTCTTTTTACCTGTCGGAGCCAAAAAGGTATTGCCCGTAATTAAGTAGGTTCCAGTAATGATTTCTGGTCTCTTCATCTTTATAATCTGAAATTGGAAAGCAAAAAAAAAATTAACAGAAATACTTTTAAAACAGGCCCAATTAAAGTGCTCATTTTCAATTTATCTTCATTGATAAAATAGCTGATTATAAGGATACATCAAAAACTGAACATGGTAAACCAGAATGAGAATAATTATCTAAAAAATTCACACCTGCTGTTACAATTGCGCTGGCTGGTACTTTAGACAGGTAACATGTTTTCCAGTCATCAACGGAGGCACGCGTCCCATCCTTACAGAGGAGCTCATAGTCATCAGCACGCCTGTTCCTGGCCCACTCGGCCTGGTTCTTGCCTCCCGTGTTGTCACGCACAGTGGTGTGCATCACAAATGCCACATCTCCACCACCTACGTTGTGAAACAAACAATAAAATAAAAGAAAACACTTCTCATTATAATCTGATAATTTAAAGTAAAACATTTGTAAAAGAAGTGGCCAAAAATACAGAGCGAGGAACAATAATACATTACTCATTTTGCTAGGTGTAGAAACATATGCAGAACTTGAGCAAATGCCTGACTGAGCAGTCGAGATATGGTCAATTTCTATTGTAGCCTGGATGCATGGAATTCATATCACTAAATTTTAATGCTTTTTCCTCACCTTCTGCAAGGCACCTAAACGCCCCAGTGTCACTGTAGTACAACTCCACACTGTTCCTCTGGCACTTGTACCTTCCACCAGATGCACAAGCTTCACACAGACTAATGGGGTTGGTCCCCTTAACATTGTACAGGGGGTCCAGGATGCCAGGAACACAGCTGCGACTGACGAATCGCCCTAAAGCAAGAGAGAGTATGCAATTCTCAGACTGTGAATGGAACACTTAAATGAGCCTGTACTACAGCAAACAATCTTTAATTATAAATTTTAGTATTTGGACAAAGGCTGGGATCAGATCTTTAAAGGATTTAAATTGCGTTCAAAATTTTAAAACTGTGCCAGTGTTCTGGACTGTATTCAAAATTTTAATTACAGAGCCTTTGTTTTGTAGGTGCTGTTTTTCTTGGTACTCAAGTCTGTAGAATTCTTGCAGGCACCATTTTATACATAGAGTAATGTCAACTTTCTTAAACCTCTCTCCTCACCTAGAGCCTCGTAAAGATCACAGTTATCCACAGTGAGCTGGCCAGTCTGCAACATGATATCCATGGGAACTATCCAACCTGCTGCAAGACCAATGCCACTATGACATGTCCTCTTGTCTGGAAAGTAAGCACTCTTTTTTACTATTCTGATTTACCAACTTGGGACAGCATTTTTCTGTAGGGTATTTAGATACCTGCATGGCAACTGGGAGCATAGGATATTTTTTTCAATAATTAATTTTTTAACTTGAAACTTACTTCAGTTATAAAGATACACTGCTAATACTTTTAAAATATTAATATCCTAGTTTAAATACAACTTACCTTTCAGGTTAAATAAGTTAGTGGTGGAATCTACTTTTCTTGACACTGCTACGGCATAATAAAAATCAGTATTTGCATCTCCTAAGTTTTCATAAGCAATTGGGACAAGACCATAATTCCTGAAAAAGGCACAATTGTATGGGTCACAACTGAAAAATGACGCATATCACTTTGGACAAATATAATGATGGTATTTATTTTACACTATTTACAATGAAGAAAATCTGTTTAACTGAAAAAGATATCATGAAATGCAAAATAAAAGCCAGACATTCTGTCATTGATTTATTAAATTCTAACATATTTCATGAATTATAATAGTCAAAGATATACATTTATAGTCTGGTGGAATTTCTGTATGATATCAATGCAATATCTTGAGCCAAACTTATTTTAATGTATTTCAATGTCTTATAATCATTTGTTCCAAATATCAAATGTTTTTTTGTTGTACCTTCCTGCAATGTACACATCAGAGGCATCCAGATTAATGATATCAGCATCTCCCTCTTTGATGATTCTCATACAATCACGGGCATTGTCTCCACGGACACAGTCCAGTGTGGGACGTAGGTTCATAGCAGCAAAATTCATCTTCATCTGCTCGCACTTTGCCATTTCATCAGAAGAAATGACACACCATCGAGTATATGGCAGTGGACAGACAATCAACTTCTGTCTTGTTTCTCTGAACTTATCACCTGATAAAATTATGAAAAGGAGTTAATTAACTTTTAAGAAAGTTCTAACTACAATCATTCAAAAAACAGTGCTGAAAATTACAAATATATGAAGTTTGACAATTATTATAAAATCAAATATGCCACTAACCAAGCCATTCGTAGTAGGTATCCAGCTGGCCTACATCAGCCAGAGCCCTTGTGTCATCAGAAAACAACAAATCATATGCCCCAAAGTCCCGGGACTCGAAGATTCTGAAGCTCCCTGGCCTGGGTGTGGTTGTGGTGGTAGTGGCATTAGTGCCTATGCCAGTTGAGGGTGGAATATACACTGTGAAATCTCTAGAAGATTTGGACAGCAGACTTTTGAAGGCAGCTTTTGCTTCAGTTGTGCGCCTGCTGCCAGTCATCACCACATTGTCGGGGACTTGTCCAAAGTTACAGAGCCTGAAGTCACTTACAGGTCTCCTGAACAGGACAGGATCGACTTCAACGCCAGACTCCAATACAGTAGGACAAAGAAGCTCAAAATCCTGCAAGGTAAACAGCAACATATTTAGCACTAGAAATGTATCTTTAACACCTTTGCTTGTTAACTGTAAGAGCTAAGTTTATGGTCAAACTATTCTAAATTTCAATACTGTCTTATTTAATATTTTCCATAACAATACAGTGAGATGAATCCCAATAGCATCCCATTTTATTTTAGTCAATAATTTATCTTAGTCAATAATTTATCTTGTTCCAATTCAAAAATGAACCAGCAAAATAAATAAAGAATACGAAATTAAATAATAAAGATGGGGGATTCGTTTATTTGTACAAACCAAAGGGAATTAAGCATGACTCACAGAATCTGCATAATTTGGATTTTCTCTGGTATATTTCAGCACATCTGCATGCCTTAGGAAGGCAACATCTCCTCTGCCACTGGCAAGGCACTGGAATGCACCAGCAAATCCACCAAATGGATCTGATGACATGCAAAAGTCACTGCCTCGTCCCTGACACAGGCTACACACGTCAGGTGGGTTATCACCTGGGCAAAATAAAAACTTCATCATGTAAGAGGGTAAAAGAAAAATCATATGGAATCTTTTACATTATAAAGTAATTAATAAATAGAAAATAATAACAAATTATAAAATGTCATTGAATACAGATCCTGAAGGGATGAATGCTGGATAACTTCAAGTGAACAAGTATGAAACTCTTTCTGCCTCCATAATATCAACAAAACAAATTCATACCAAATACATTCTTGTGTGTACTGAGTGCCCCAGGAATACAGGATACATTGAAGAAGTTGGCCACTGACTTCAGCTGCACATTACACTCAGTTACTGAGATCAGTTTGCTTTGAAACATCTGTGCCATGGGATACACATAGCCTGCAGCACTGTTTATCCCTGGAATATAATAAATTGAGGTAATCAAAAGGATTTTCAATTTGTTATACATTCTTTCAAGAAGTAAACCTAAATTTGAGTATTACGGGTATCAAAATGAAAATAAAAAACACTTTCAGCATGGAGATTTTTAATTAAAAAACAAGAAATTTCATCAAATGTAACATAAGAAGTTGAACAAATGTTCCATTTGAGTAAATTCTTTCATTATTCATAAAACACTTTTATGCAAATAAGCTTATCAGGTATTTACTTAAACTTACCTGGATGACAAGAATTTTTACCAGCCAGTGTTTTTATATTGAAATTAGTTCCCTTTTTTACAACAGCAACAGCATACATTTGTTCCTCTGTAAAAAAATTATAAAAGGAAAAATATTAAAATAAACACACTTCTGTACTTTTTTCTGAAAAGACTTATTATCAGTATTCTTTAAATTCACAGAAAAATCTCAAACTTTCTGTATACTCTATATGTAGTTTTGGTATTTTTCTGATAAAACAACTCTTATAATTTATACTTAATGTTTTTAGTTTATCATTAATAATTTATATTCTAATTTATGACTTACTATTAATATACTCCTCTGCCATGATTGGAGCAAGACTAAAGAAACGCCCAGCAAAGTAAGCATCACCCGCATCGACTGCCATCAAGTCTGCTGTGTATCTTGAAATTTTGTCCATGCAGTCGAAGCTATTCTCCCCAAGGACACATTCTAGTCTAGGTGTGCCAGTGTATTGTTTTGCTTGTACAGCTGTGCTCCACGCATTACACTTCTGCAACTCTGCCTCAGATATGGCACACCATTTGGCAACTTCTGTTTACAAAAAAAGAAAAGCATGCTAGACATAAAACTATAACGATAAATTAATTTAAAAATTAATTATTTTCTTCTTTCTCTATTATCTATGCACTGGCATACAAATTAGAATCAATTAAACATTTCCAAAATATAAATAATGCATTGCTTTTTGTTTCCACTGTCATAATTTTATTTTTTAATTCTATCAATAATTACTGATGAATTTTTTAGTTACAGAAGTCTAATAAAACATTGAGGTTAAGTAATTGGTGTTTTTATGCATATACAAGATGAAATATTTCACCGCCAAGGCAAGTCTTAAAACCACTTTAAACTGGACGGCGTCCCTTCTGCGACCATGGAACTGGCATCGCTGTGGTCGTAGAGAGAGGCACAAGCATCGCTTTGGTTGCAGAAGAGTATGAATGCTCAATGATTAGACGGTTGTCGGCACGTAAATATATTTTTTTACTCTCAAAATGGGCCGAACTATGGTACGCAGAAAGGACGCCGTCCAGTGGAAAGGGGGCTTTACTATAAATCACAGCCACGACTAGTGAAAGTCTTTCAGGTGTTATCTTAGATATCAAATTGGCGATCAAATCCTTTATTTCTAACACCAATACTAATTTTAACAATTTTTTTATGAAAGATTGCCATTGCAGGGACACATATAATTTATTCATAATCACAACAAAAAATCACTTGATTTAGAAAAATACCTCGCATTCCTTATAGTTTACAACCGACATTTTGAAATGAGTCATGAGAAAGCAATAAAGGTGGCCACAGGTTACATTTCTGATCAACTCACCTGTTTGCGATACGACAAAGCTGCTATATATCAGCACCAGAAACGAACCAACCCATCCCTTCATCTTCTCCGATTTTTACAAAATGCAACCTTACGCTCCTATTCCATTGAACATTGATTCTGAAATTTTACAGGTGGGCACCGTTGGCCCTCCAAAATTAGGTCATGTACCTGGAGTGATTCACACCTTCGCACAGAAGAGCAAATAGTTCTAAAATAAAACCATATTTTTCTTTTATACTGAAATGACAAGATTGTGTTTTTGGTAGCAAAAAGTACCAAATGCGAAAAAAACAACAATTTCTTCTGTTTTTTAAAGCATTCTTGACAAATCTTTACATATATTTTTTTCACCTCACCTGGCCCGCGGAGCGCAGGGATATGAAAGAGACAGGTGCGAAAACATAGCTATAACACGCGTACATTGCTAACGATAAGTTAAAGAAATTATTCAAGCTTATTTATTTATTTCTTCTTATACCTTTAGTAATTAAAGGTGATATACATAATTCAATATAATATATTGATGTCCGTTTTAATCTTAAACTTGTTTCACATTGTCAACACTTATTGGGCAATTTTTTTAGCGTGTTAGACACTATTCCAGAGAAACTGTGTTGCTACACGTCAGTGGAGAAAACTGAGACAGTCGCGAGCTTGAAAAATGCGAGTTTTAAAAAGTTATGCACTGAACATATGCAGTTTACACCAAGGGACTGATTTTGAAGACGTTCTTATCAGCTCTCTTTAACGTTTCGTTCAATCAAGGTGATAGCCGAGCGTTGAGATAGTCTACCACTGAGAGTCAAACTGCAATTCTTTGTAGTACTGAAGATGATGTTGAGTTGAACTGCAGTTAGCGAGTGTAATACATGTAATGCACACGCTATGCAGGTGAGGTAAAATATTACTGTACAGGTATTTACTGGCTTTAGAAATGTTATAGTCAAAATGGTCAAAAGTAAGCTAGGTTTGAAACAAGTCTTATCCAGTTAATTAAATGGTAATTTACATGTACTAGTATATATGTATACTGTAATTTGTAAATATGTGACACAAAGTAACTAAGTTGATAAACTTTAGGGGATTTTTTCCCTTATTTTCAGGTGTCCTCTGATTTAATCCAAGGCTACTGCCAGCAAGGAGACCTAGAGGCATTGCAACTGTCTTTGTCAGGAATCTCCCAAAAAGACATCAGAAACTTGCTGAGCAAAAAGAACACAGCAGCAGGTACTGCATTGTTTGAAGCCATTGTGCACCAACGAACAGAGATAGTAGACTTCCTCCTGAACCAGAAGTACTGTGATTTGGAGCAGGAATGTGATGTAGATATAGAATTCTGCCCCTTGCCAGTAAAAGGAATATGTGAGTAATTGAAATCAGTCCAGTAGACAAAATATGAGTGTATATATACCAGTATGCATTGCCAGCTTTTATCTTTTAAAACAAACAATTAAGACGAAGCCTGGGAGAGGCATAGCATGTCAAATGTACAAAAGCCTGCTCAATGTTCATCAGTATATCATTCACTGTCAGTAGTTTAAATGAACTCATTAAATATATCAATGTAAGAAATTATCAATACTGACCATAATGTTATAAAAATGTTCCAACAATCCAACTTTCACATTTTAGGTACAGCTCTTTATCTTGCCATTTTGGTGGATAATGAAGCTATTGTGAAGTCTCTTCTGGAAGCTGGGGCATCAGCAACTCATAGAACCAAGAGGAAAACACCACTGTTTCTAATAGCGGATTCTGCAGGCTTGTCTGTTAACCTCTTGCACTTACTAGTTCATCATGGTGCAGATGTGAATGAAAAATTAAATGGATGGAATGTTTTACATGCTGTGTGTCACAATCACCGTGCAAATTTTGATGCAGCAAATGTAAAAAAAGTGGTACAGTTTGTACGAGCATTAGCTGAATATGGTTTGGACATCAATGCCCAGTCTGACTGTGGATGCACTCCAGTCGAAGAGGCCTGTAAAACTGGATGTTATCTTGTAGGAAAATGGCTTTTGGAACAACGTAGTTTAAAAGTCACTGAAAGAGAAAGAATAAGGTTGTGGCTTCAGCTGGGAGCAGCGTGTATTCTACACAATGCACAATTAATATACGACCAGGTCCTTGTATCCAGAACTTTAAAATGTTGGAAAAAAGCTCTGAAAGTTGCAGATGTCTCTCATTGCACTGATGCCTTCAAAGAACTGCCAGATTTCATAGTGGAGTTCAAAGATAGTGAAGACTGTCAGGGCACCTGCAATGAGATTTTGCTCTCAATTTCTCCATTCAGAGATAAAGATACTCTTCGAAAATTGGGAAGGAATTTTAGAGCTTTAGAGCAACAGGCATTAGCTTTGCGCATGTCTCTGAATGTGGAGCCTACTAAAAGCAAACTTGTGCTTGGAGAGCTTTTGCATGAAGCCTCAAGAGTGGTGGATCAAGATATGTGCCTGGGGATTAAACTATTTATCTACTCTATAAATCTCAGTTTAGAGGGAAAGTTTCAAAATCAGTGTGAAGAGGCTCTTTCTTTTCTCATGCAGTATGCACTTCACAAATTCACAACAGGTAAAATAAGCAACAATTCTGATGCTGCCCGGTATATAGATCCTCTCATTACTATGGTAAATCTGATAAATAAATTAATGAAGCTCATACTGGAGCTTACACCAATTTGTGGAGAAAAGGATAATTCTAATTTTATGGAGCAAATTGAAAATCTGATGGGGATTCTTGGAATGCTGCATGTCATCAACAGTAAAACTGCATTAAATCCATCTCAAAAAGGAAAACTCGTTCACAGTCTCTCTACAATCCTTGAAATAGAAGATCAAGTAGGGCAGACATTTGAAATTAATTTGAATTGGGAATTCATTAGAATTGCATCATATAACGTGTTCACTGCTAGAAGTACCTTGTATTTCTTCCAAGAGGCTCTTTACCCAAGCATTCTCATCACTGACTGGCTTGTTAAGGCTGGCATAGATGTAAATGTTAAAGACAAAGATGGTACCACACCTCTGATATTTTGTCTTAAATCTTTACACCCTGATAAAGATTTCATCAGATATTTTATTATGAATGGTGCACATGTTGATGTTGAGAACAGGTATGGCGAAAATCCATATGATATTCTAATGGCTCATCCAGAATTGGGGATATCTCCATTTGAATTTATGACACTGAAATGCCTGGCAGCTCGAACTATTATTAAACAGAAGCTTTGTTACAGTAAATCTGGAATGTTGCCTAAGAATTTACTTGCATTTGTCCAAGTACATGAAGAATGTGGACAACATTGACAGGGTTTAAGCGAGAAAGATTTTTTTGTGTGAAAAATCTGAGTAGAGATTTTTTACTGTTTTACCAAAAAATATGCAACTGTCATGGTTACCAATAAAATGAGAGTAATAAAAATTGAAAAAGTATTTTATTTTTATTAAATATTTAGAAGCAGGATCCACCATATCCTCACCTATCAGGCAAACTTGCCTCCTTCTCTGCCCATAATCCAAATTATTTTTCCTGTTCCTTTCATTTATTCATTTATTTACTATTCACTAAAGTTGAATTGAAAAAAAAAAAGATATTTATTGTACTTGTAATGACGGTAAAAACTCAACAGGGAAAAGGTTCCAACTTTCGTGTACGCTACATGGAGAAAATACCTACATTGTTAGCAGCCGGTCGACCCGACCCGATATGGCCTTACCTGTAAAGCCTAGCCCGTGGAGCAGTAAATCTATTCAAGGAGTACTGTTAGATATATCAGGCGTTTTGTATAACAACACGGAAGACGATGTAGGTGTTGCCATTGATGGATCTGTTGAAGCTGTGGAGAGGTTAGTTGTAGTTTGGAAATATAACGTTCTTGCTATTATAATGCTGATTATCAATATGGATCACTTGGGTCAACTGATGGGGTGAACCAAGGAGTATTCTGGAGATGTTTTACTTACTTATCCTCTTGGAGTCATTCTGGAGATGTACAGGCCGACAAAGCCATATATATATATATATATATATATATATATATATATATATATATATATATATATTTATTTATTTACGGTATATTGCTGTTTTTGGTAAAGTGATTAAAACATTGTTATCATTTAATTTTTTGGTTTAATTTTTGGATATTTATTTGTTTGTTTATTTACTTGTAATCCATTCTTTCATTTATTAGTACTATTACAGGACAGTAACTAAACATATACAATGAAAATATTGATTAAATGGTTATTTAATGACCACATATCACTTATATTTAATAGGAATTATTGCCTTGCAGGCTGAGAAAATCTGGCCTTCCAGTTCGGTTTTGCACCAATGAAACCCAGTGTACCAGAGAACAGCTGGTGAGAAAACTAAGTCGGTTAGGGTTTACCCTTGGTGTGTCAGAGGTGTTCCCACCAGCCCCTGCTGTGTGTCAAATACTAAAGGAGAGAAACTTGAGGCCATTTACTGTGATACATCCATGTGAATAAAATGTTTTGTCAATTAAATACCATTTAATTTATTGTCTATTTTTGTCACTTGTTTTTGAGGTTCATAATTTAAACTTGCTTTTTACCGAAGTCAGTGATGGGTTGCTCTTACTTTTTTCATTTATTTTTACTTATGTCTTGTTGGCAATATTTAAGAAATACACATATGAATTTTTTAAAAAAATTACTGTTGAAATATTACTAATTAATAATAACAGTAACTATTTATAAATCAGTATTGTTACTATAGCTAATCTCCAAATAAATTTTATTAAATTCAAGCACCCAGATGTTTTATTTCATTTTCATCACATAGGAACATTAAATGGATTTCCAATTTCAGCATGTGATCCAGAGTTTGCTGATATTGATCAAAATGATCCTAACTGTGTTGTACTGGGAGACGCCGCTAAATATTTCACATTTGAAAAGGTCAATAAAGCCTTTCAAACCTTGATGTCACTGGAAAAGCCAGTATTGATCTCTATGGGGCAGGGGTAATGCTACAGCCTTATTCTTTTTTTTTTATCAATCACTTTATCACACGGATTATTATTTTTGTAAGAAATGTTGTTTGACAGTATCTTATAAAGTGGCGGATAATATAATTATGTATAATTTAAGTATTTAAAAAGTATTGAGTCGAATATTTTACTAAATTCTGATTAATTCAGTGATATCAGTTTCCATAATATTCACATTTATGGATGTTTTGTTAATTCAGTAATTGACTTTTTACAAATTTTACGAATCCCAAGGAATTGTGGGTAGAATTAAAGAGGGTTAAGAAAGCAGGGTGTGCTTAAATCAGGAACATATACTCTTTAATCTTATTTATTATTAATTAATGTTATAGGAAATACTACAAAGAAGCAGGTGGCTTGAAACTGGATGTTGGAGCATATATGAAGGCTTTAGAGGTAAATTCAGTTATAATAGCGGAATTAGATATCAAACAATACATTCCATGCATTAGGTTAGGCAAGGTCTGATTCATAATTAGTTGTGTACACGTGTTTCTATTTTACAGCATGCCCATTGGAAATTTAGTTTTGTGGTCTCACTTTTTTGTAATTTTTCATTTTTTGAGCTACTACAGCATTTTCCTTACAGTATGCCTGTGATGTTAAAGCCGAGATAGTGGGGAAACCATCACCATCATTTTTTAATGCAGTGCTAAAAGACATGGGTGTAGATGCATCCAATGTAAGTATAGAAAATGGTGGTCATTTTTGTTTAGAAGCCTAATTGTTATTAATGATGTTTTTCTTGTGATATTAACTTTTATATTCATTTTCACAATTGTCAGAATTTTGTTAATTTTAATTAAAAGTTATTGTACACACTTGTGCGTGCATGCACATACACTACACAGACAAACACTCACCAAGATGACTTGGCCCTCTTTGATGTAGGGTGCATAATCTTATTCCGATATGATATTTCTAGGCTGTTATGATTGGTGATGATATAGTGAATGATGTTGGAGGTGCCCAGGCCTGTGGTATGAAAGGAATTCAAGTGCGAACAGGAAAGTTCAGGTGAGTATTACATAACCTGGGCAGTGCATGGTTAAAACATTTTTGCAAGTCCAGAATGTTATCATAATATGCCAAGTTATTGAAATTCAAAACTTATTTTGAATTGTATCTACCTTTTCCAAATTGGAAACCTTCTTACATGAATACACATGAAAATATTTTGCCATTAAATGCAGCAAAATGTAAAGAAGTGAGAAATAAACCATCCTCTGCCCAGATATGTTATAAACTCTTGTATTTTTTTTCACAGGCCCTCTGATGAAAATCACCCCACAGTTAAGCCAGATAGTTATGTTGACAACCTAGCAGCAGGAGTGGATCTTTTACTTCAAAATAGATAGAACATTCCTTGTTTAGAGCTTGTGCATTTGAAATTAGTTTTATCGCATGGAAAGAATATAAACTCATAGGGGAATTGTTCAGAGAATTGTAGTGGCTTATGCTTTAAAGACCTGTTACAATATACCTGCATATTTGGTTTTGTTAAGGGGACATGTTGTGCAGTTTGCATAGAGACAATTTACCAAGGATATGCTCATTTGCCAATAAAAATGACAGTATGACAATGGAGAGGAAAAACAACATTGTGGGCATTTTATGAAATAACTGCAATTGAATTTCTTATTTTATTTTTTTTTGCTTTTAAAATACTTTACTTCCTTCCAGATCGAAATAAACCTTTTTATGAATAATGTTGTACACTTATGGACATTGTTTAATGAAACAAGTTTAATAAGGTTCAGCCCAAACAGAACTTGTATTGATATTTACATCAGCCTGTATGGACATATTTCCAACAAAACTTTAAGCTTCTTGATAGAATATATGGCATTTATTTACTACTAATTTTGTACATACAGTAGTTCTAAAGCAAACTTTCAATATTTTGAATTTGACGTATGTTCAGACGTAATGCACAGTATTAATCTCAAACATAAACCAAGCTTGAAACAAAACTTTTAAGACCCTGTCACCTCAGCTGAGGATACTACCATTATTGCTTTTACTTATCAACTGGTGTACTCCTCTCTGATATCAGAAATATTTACATAAGAAATATCATAAAGTTTTTATATTTAATAACATGATTGAAGTCTACTTGCTCCACTGGATGGATTTAAATAGGCACTTTTAGAAACGCCAGGCTCACCAGATTCACCTAAAATTTAACTTTATAATTTGAAGGTATTTGAAAACAGAAAAAGGTGTATGAATAAGGTGTATGATCTACAACGAACATTTTGCATCAGCCATGTTAACAGATTATTTTTAAGTCTTGTTATCTATCCAACTGCTGATTGCATTATAACGCTATCAAAACTTGATGGAAAAGTCTACTTTCTTTTTTTAACAATGGGTACATTTGATTGTGTTTGGGTGTCAATATCAAGACTTTACAAATATAGAATTCACAAGAAAAATTTGAGCATAAAAGAGGACCGTCTGAATGTGGACTAGCGTATCGTCTGTGACATATGAAGTGGATTCAACATGAGTTCTAATGATGCTCCTTTCAAGTTGGCACCACGCAGGTTAGCCTCTTGTAAATCACAACCAGAGAGGTCACAGTTCTGGAATAATGAAACATAATGACTTAACATCATCTCAATAATAACTACATACATAAATCAATAAAATGAATCAAAATTTATGAATTTAACATGAAATTTAGTCAACTCTACATAATTTATGTGCACATCTGTAATTTTGAAAATATGCTGTATTCATTAATAAATGCTTTTAAAAACTTAAATTTATGATTTAAATAACAATTGGCCAAGGCTAAATGCATTCAATCCTCTTACTTCCAGATCAGCTCCAGCCAACACTGCAGCCCTCAGATCACAGTTCTTTAAATTGCTGTTCTTTAATGTGGCAACTCGGAGATTAACACCAGCCATGTGGCTGCCTTCTAAATTCACATTCTTCATATTGGCACCTAAACAGATCAATGAATTCAAAAGCTTTTAGGGGCAATGTTACTTTGTGCAATTTCATTGTTATCATATAAATTTTGATTTGTAAGTGTGAACTGTGTAAAATTTGTACTATGAATGACCCTCTTGCCTTCAAAGGATATTTAAAGCAGGTAAAACCATAATTATAATAGTTATATGTATAATACAGAAACGCCAGTAGGACTACAAACCTTCCATATTTGCTCTACTGCCAGCAGGGTCTTCAAAATTACAACCTTTCATTAATGCACCTTCCAAACATGCACACATGAACTTTGCTCCAAGCAATATAGCACCCTACAAAAAATGATCTGATAATCTTAGTCATGATTAACAAACAAGAGTTAAACGGGATCAATCCAGCTTTAAGACAATAAAATACAAAATGTTTCTTTTCAATGCTAACTAAAATGTCATTTTGCTTACAAATGTCACTAAAATTACGATTCATCAAAATTTTAGTCTCACTGAAAAAAAATTCTCAAATAAGTTCACTTCAGTAAAACTTACATCAAGTATTGCATGTGAAAGATCTGCTCTCTCAAAGTTACACTGGGATAGATTGGCCCCACTCAAATTTGTTCCTTTAAGAATGGCATATCTGAAATTAATGTGTCTCAGATCTAGCTTGGACAGGTCTGCTCCTGTGAAATTAAGACCCTGTAAATAACATCATATAGACTAGTTTATATTCTATAACTGTATAAAGTGCTTTTAACTGATAATAATTGTATCAATTTCACATGAAAATGTGAGAAGTTTTCAAATAATCAATTCAGCTTTGTCAAATGACCCGAAAAATCTTTATCTGCTTAGAAACATGTACTTAACTTTATGCAGCATAAATAATTTTTCACAAGAATATGAAAACCTTACAATACCATTTTCTGAAAACTGAAAATAAAAAACTCACCTGACACCTCAGATCAGTGGTAGTATTTGTAGACATTAGTGAAAATACAAATTCTCTTCTGGAAATTGGAGTGAAATCTTCAGCTGGCTGTTGTTTCTGTAGAAAATGAAAAGCAATTCATTGTTTAGATTTTAGCAAATTAACTATAGAGGCATCTACAAACTGTCATGGTATTTTAATTGGTTTGTTTTAGAAGTTTTAATTCCAATATTCAAATACTGAGTCTCAAAGTTCTATTTTTTTTTACCAAGTAATTGTTTTTACAGGTTCCAATTTTACATCATTGCAAACAGTGCAGTCTTACTTAATCGTGACTATAGGCAGTTGTTAAATTAGATACCAAGATTCCACTTCTAACAGTGAAGGAATAAGATCTCTGGTGATACCCACCCTGACAATAGCCTCAAGTTGTTCTACCAGTGATGTAATTCCAAAAAACTTGCATTCTTCTAAAACACCTGAAATTTACATAAACCAGCATTTACCTTACCTTTGACCTGTTCAAATTAGTTTTCGTGAGAATTGTTCTCTTTAATTTGTTTAAAAAAGTCAATCACTGTTTTTTAGAGTAATTTTTTTTACTCTTTCACTTAGCAAAGGTAAAATGAACAAAACATGTAAATAATAACACAAAGTTATGGTCAACAAATTGTAGAACATGCTACAGATGTTTGATATTTGTTCAGCTTTCCATCAAGGTTGCATGAGCCAACCTTTCACAGACAAAATCAGACATTTCATGTTAGACAAATTAAAAATTTAAATACTCTCCTACATAAATTCACAAAATGCCTTTCCTAATACCCATGGGCGTCTCATCCACTAACCTTGAGGATTGATGTTTTTATCTAAAATCAGTTGCCCATGTCTGAGATAGTTGAGTATTGGTTCAAAGTAGATAGGACTTCTGTCAATGAGATATGCCCCATGTTCATCTACACTGCTCTGCCATGATGATGCTGTAATACATACCATAAATATTATTATCTTTAATTGCTCATGTCCAAAATGACAATTTCAAAAAGAGCCAAAGTATGAAAGTTGGTGCAATGATTTTTGCTGATGATTGCTTTGTGATGTCAAAGAGCCTGCATATCCAAAGTTATGACTCAAAACTTGCAGCATTTATAAAGCAACATCAAAGCATGATTTATTTTCTTTTTCAAAGTTCAACGCAAACAGTATATAATTACAAACCTCCTTCATCAGCAAACATCCTGGCAAGCATGCTGTCAGTTTCTTTTCCTGTGAGCGTACTTCTGGTGGTAGTAAACAGCCTGCCTCCTACATTCAGTGTGATCCAATTATCACTACTGCCAACTTTCAAACTTGTATGCATCGAGTCCCCATCACTGGGAGTCCACTGCACTCTCTTGTTGAGTTCTGAATTTTTTTCATAAATGTTAATACAGATACATCGATTCAGTGAATAATAAGTCAGTGAATTTCACCATCTTATTATTACCATCCTGAGTTAAATAGATTAATGGGAACTGTTATCATCACCATGTTCTGCAGTTTTCAAGGACAGGTATGGCAAACTATATGCACATTTTTTAACATTTTTGGTTCGGACTTAAATCTAAACCATAAATATTTTGAAAATCTCTGATTAACTTATAGTCTTAGTGAGTGTAAGTGGGTTAAAATAAAACATGACTCAATTTTCAAACGCAACTGGTCTTTTTTTTTTTTAATTGGGACAGTGTCTGCAAATTTGATAACAGATCTTTACCTATAAATGGTTCTCCAGGTGACACATACATAACATCTTCATCCCTTTAGAAGACAAAGAAAAGTGGCTAGTATTATATATGTTTATCTCCTACACTTAATAAAATTTATTAATATTAATTTTGACTTTTTTGCATAAAATAAAGCCTACATGTTTTACTGCCCAAGAAAAAGTCAATACACAAGCCGTTATGGAACTTGTGTTTTAAACATTTAAAAAACAAACATTTTAAAGGACAATACACTGGTAGTACCATTTCTACATGATCATGTTACTTAAAAGTTGTTAAATTTGTAGCATGTTACACTGCCTCTAAAACCATTCAATCATTTACACTTTTCTGATAAAACATCTTTTAACCTGATTAGCTTGATGTCATCCACTAGTCCTCCTTGAGGTGTATATAATTTCTTAACTTCAAACCCAACTTTCCTTCCTGCTTCCTGAAGCACCTCCTCTAGACTGTGTGTTACTGCTATCACCTAAAATATGTGAATTATAAAATATTTTATTGATGAAAACTTTCATGTAAATACAGGAACTTATAAAATAAAAAACACACCTTCCCAGCACTTTAAAGTAACAATTCTTCTAACTGCTGTTCAACAATGAGTGGAGTAACAAGTTGCCTCAGTTTGCAGCCTTACATGCTAACGGTACCTTTACTGCAATAAGGGTACCATTAGCACGTTTCACTGAAAACTGAGGCAAAGTAACACATCAGTAATATCACAACATTTTTCTAGGGAGAGTAACAATGCAGGAAACTGATCATGATGATGTGCGGGAGTGGGATAATGTGGACATAAAGAAATTATCCCCTTATTTGGACTCCAGTTTGACTACGTCTACATCTAATATTTTAATTTGATCAAATTTGATTGTCCGTGAAATAGTAAGATGCATATGTACTGATACTGATAGTGCATTGCTGTTATATTAACAGTATAATCGTAAAATACAATTTTACCAGCGATTTCACACACACAAACAAACACACACATAATTATCATCAAACACCATGTAGAGCTTGGACCCATTATAGATCGAAGGTTAAAGGAATCAAATTATGTTCCAAAACAAAGATGCACAGTTGCTAATTCTATTTTACTCCACGTTAACAACACCACCAGACAGATTCATACTCACCTTTCCGTCTACATTGGAACCATTTCTAAATATCACTATTCTCTTCATCGTATCACTGGCCCTCTCAAAGGCAGAGTTAATAGTTAGTAACTACATTACTTGTGTACAGTTAAAAATGGAATCAAAGTCACTCTGGAGTTAACGCACTATTTATAGTCTCCGGAAATAGCATTGAAGGGGAAGGTCGTTCTGAATGCGCTAGGTGAGAAAGTTGAGATTGCGCTGTGCGGTGCCAGGAACTGATCAGCACATATCAGGTCCAATCCTTCGCGCACCCGAGTCAGTGCAAGCAAGGTCAATAACATAAAGGCTAATAACAGCACAGAAGATAATGGCCATTTTCTTTTTTCAGTATTTAATTTTTTTTTAAATTCAGAGTTAAACTATTTATTGGCCTATGGTTTCATTTTTAGCCTACTTTTAGTCACTGTACTTATTAAGGCGTATTTGCATGATATAGCACTTGCCAGATAGGTCGCGATCGGGAAAACGACAGAAAATGACAGTAGTTTTTTATATTTTACAATGAACGTTGTTGGTGTTTTGTATAATTGATGCATTTTATATTTGCAAAAATAAATGGGAACAAATTATCCATTTTTCCTGTTTTTACATTTAAAGTAAGACATTTTCCACCTTACAGGTGCATGAATCTCCACCCCCCCCCNTGTTAAATTTGTAGCATGTTACACTGCCTCTAAAACCATTCAATCATTTACACTTTTCTGATAAAACATCTTTTAACCTGATTAGCTTGATGTCATCCACTAGTCCTCCTTGAGGTGTATATAATTTCTTAACTTCAAACCCAACTTTCCTTCCTGCTTCCTGAAGCACCTCCTCTAGACTGTGTGTTACTGCTATCACCTAAAATATGTGAATTATAAAATATTTTATTGATGAAAACTTTCATGTAAATACAGGAACTTATAAAATAAAAAACACACCTTCCCAGCACTTTAAAGTAACAATTCTTCTAACTGCTGTTCAACAATGAGTGGAGTAACAAGTTGCCTCAGTTTGCAGCCTTACATGCTAACGGTACCTTTACTGCAATAAGGGTACCATTAGCACGTTTCACTGAAAACTGAGGCAAAGTAACACATCAGTAATATCACAACATTTTTCTAGGGAGAGTAACAATGCAGGAAACTGATCATGATGATGTGCGGGAGTGGGATAATGTGGACATAAAGAAATTATCCCCTTATTTGGACTCCAGTTTGACTACGTCTACATCTAATATTTTAATTTGATCAAATTTGATTGTCCGTGAAATAGTAAGATGCATATGTACTGATACTGATAGTGCATTGCTGTTATATTAACAGTATAATCGTAAAATACAATTTTACCAGCGATTTCACACACACAAACAAACACACACATAATTATCATCAAACACCATGTAGAGCTTGGACCCATTATAGATCGAAGGTTAAAGGAATCAAATTATGTTCCAAAACAAAGATGCACAGTTGCTAATTCTATTTTACTCCACGTTAACAACACCACCAGACAGATTCATACTCACCTTTCCGTCTACATTGGAACCATTTCTAAATATCACTATTCTCTTCATCGTATCACTGGCCCTCTCAAAGGCAGAGTTAATAGTTAGTAACTACATTACTTGTGTACAGTTAAAAATGGAATCAAAGTCACTCTGGAGTTAACGCACTATTTATAGTCTCCGGAAATAGCATTGAAGGGGAAGGTCGTTCTGAATGCGCTAGGTGAGAAAGTTGAGATTGCGCTGTGCGGTGCCAGGAACAGAACAGCACATATCAGGTCCAATCCCCCGGAGCTGTATGCACGCGCTCACGCGTGTACATATGCCTTCGCGCACCCGAGTCAGTGCAAGCAAGGTCAATAACATAAAGGCTAATAACAGCACAGAAGATAATGGCCATTTTCTTTTTTCAGTATTTAATTTTTTTTTTTTAATTCAGAGTTAAACTATTTATTGGCCTATGGTTTCATTTTTAGCCTACTTTTAGTCACTGTACTTATTAAGGCGTATTTGCATGATATAGCACTTGCCAGATAGGTCGCGATCGGGAAAACGACAGAAAATGACAGTAGTTTTTTATATTTTACAATGAACGTTGTTGGTGTTTTGTATAATTGATGCATTTTATATTTGCAAAAATAAATGGGAACAAATTATCCATTTTTCCTGTTTTTACATTTAAAGTAAGACATTTTCCACCTTACAGGTGCATGAATCTCCCCCCCCCCCCCCAAAAAAAAAAAAAATCATTTTGGCGGTCTTTCACAGCTATAACGAAGTGATATTTAATTGATATGCCTGTAAATTTCAGATCACTCGATCCGTAAGCTCAAGTTACATGCTGGACTAGCTATACTAGTCTATGATAGGCTATGTAGGCCTACTAATAGAACGAATGACCATAGTTAGCTGAAAATGACGAGTCTTATAATCCAAACAGTAGCACGAAAATTCATGCGCTAGCACTCCTATTGACGATTCTGATATGTAGCCTACTGTCTGCTAGTACATATCGGAATTGTCAATAGGAGTGCTAACGCATAAATTTTCGTGCTATCCAAACGGGTGGTAATTTGCCAGGAAGTTAAATCGATCGCGATAAGTGTGTGGGATCGTTTCTTTTTTTATCATCTTTATTTAGCAGAAGGGCATTTCAAAAAAGTTGCAATTGTTAACCGTGGGTAGAATTGTCTCACTTATTGAACCCCAAAAATGGACCTGTTCCCATACGGCAGCGAAGTAGTGCCACATTGAACTTTCCATGATGAAAACAAAGTAGGCCTATATATATATAAAGCAAAACGAACTATGTAATTATTCTTGTTGAAAATATATTTTATTGAATAGCATTCAAAGAGTAGGCGTATGTCTGCACGTCATGTGTAAGTATGTAAATGGCAAATAAAAAATAGGGTGTCTGATTTGGTGAATAGAGGAACCTGTTGGCTAACAAAATGCGTTCGTTTTGCTTGTATGTTTTCAACAAACCCAAATCCCCTCTGGATGATACGGTATGCCTTATCATCTACCAAAATCTAAATCGAGGCTTCCGTACGGAAATTAGGCGAATTATATATTTTCATGTAAATCAGGTGAGCATTTCGGTGAGAGGTGTTCAGAGAGGACCGAGGACAGCATGAGATGGAGAAGAAAGAGGCCACATGCCTTTACTACAATTTCTACATGCAGGCCGAAAATGTGGAATTGAAAACGACAGCAACCTGTTGTAAGTACTGTATAGATAATTGAAGATAATACTGCTTTTTTCAATTTCCAATATTTACCTGAATGGTGCAAATCGCACTTTGGGTACATAGGCTTAATAAGAATGGGAATTTTGCTTACGTGAATGATAACTGTCCTGAAAATAGACAAAAAGATTGTTATTTAAATAGCTGATTTTTTTGTTTCCGTAGAGAACGGATTTGCCATCAAAGAATTCGAAGAGAGGAGGCCTTCAAAATGTCTGAACGCGTATTCCGTCTTAAGGCATATTCGAGGAGAGTCACCTGCATTGAAATAAAGTAATTGATATATGTATCATTATACATTAAATGTTAAATACTAGTATAAGAAGCACGTTTAGCAATTGAACAATTTAGTATGCTCGAGCAACTCGTTTCTGCTCAAAATTGTGGCATCATGTAGGCCCAGTTAAGAATTTATCACGAAGAAAACAATGATTTAAGACATGAAGTTACTTGATCTATGAGCAATATAACCATGGATTTTATGAAATTGAATATTTTGGTTACCGTTTGTTTTTATGCGGTGTGCTTGCTTGATAAATAGTAAGTGCATGCGTGTGGCAGTAACAATTACATAAGGTTATAATATACCGTTATATGCATTTTGAATTTTCGATATCGTTCATACCACTAAAGTTGGACATATTTAAATCTGCGATAAATTATTAGAAGAATTCTTTTATATCAACAAAACGATTAATCTTCCTTATTTCTATTAATCGTGGCCAAACCACCTAGAATTTTTTGTTAGAATTTGGTTCGTTTATTATTCGAATTATGTTTATCGTTTGAATACCTGTTTTCCAAATGCATATAAACATGGATATATTTTAATTAAAACTGTTTGGTGCTTTGACAAGGTAGTTCCTTTGAGGCGTAGGAGCAAGCCCGTGTGAACGCCATCATCGCCCCCACCTGCTTATACTTATAGACGACTGGTGGCCTTGGAAATACACAGTTACATTGTATTAGGCAGGGAACCCATGTCTCCTACCGGGTACGTCTTCCACCCCTCACAGATGAGCGACGAGGTGGAAGAGTTGCCTGACTTGTTTTCATATTTTTAAATAACAACCAGTTTTATACGAAAAACGCAAGCAACTCAGATTAAGGAAGACTCAGTTAACGCACATACCGAATAAGAGACTAGAATATAACGAACAATTTGTGCACTTGATAACCCCTCCCCTCCCCATTCTGGTATGTCTTTTTGGGGAACATAAAACCCAATAGTTTAATATGTATGTGATTATGATGGTTCTTATACTTTTTTCAGATGAGACTTGGACTCGAGATGTACGCAGTTTTCTGCTTCAAACTGACAGGTTCCCAACAAACTCTTCCTTTAAGATGAGTATGCATTATATACTACAGCACGCTCTCACAAGCACGAATCAATTGTTCAGTACACAATAGTTGAATATTTAACAGAAATTGCCGATTCCAGTAAAATGTAGCCTATTTTGTTCTACCTACTACATTAAAAACAACATATCTGTTTTACATTAAAAAAGAAAATGATACTTGATTGTATTTGTACCCAAATTATGTATGATGTGCTTGATATATTATGCATAGGAAACTTGAAGATCTTTTGTCAATGTTAAATATTTAAAAATGATTTGCAATTAGGTTGCGCTTTATAAATATAACGTTTAATAGCAAGTGTAATGAAGTTATTAATTACCTTCACCCCTGTCTGTCTGTCTGTATGTCTGTTTGTTTGTCATCAACATAACTCAAAAAGTTATGGACTGATTTTGATGAAATTTTCAGGATAGGTGGGAAATGGGTTAAAAATCAATCAATAGTCAATAATAATAAAAAGTCGCTGCCTTGGCGGAGGTCTGCGCTCTCGGAGTGCTTTTCTAGTTAATAAAAGTTATTACCTCCACTGTAAAAAACGTCATTTTTTTCTGTAAGCAAAATATTTCAAAAAGTTTTAATGATGAAATTTTCAAGATACGTAGCTCTTCAAGTTGGAAAGAATTGATTTTACTTTTAACCGAGTAAATTTGTAAATTTGAAGATGAATTTACTACAATCTATATTTTGCCTTGGCTTTCTGAATACTCGCTAGTCGTATCACTAACTCATTTCAGGTTAAAAGTTTGACTTCAGCCAACTTCAACTCCAGTCTTAATTTTGTTCCAGTCCCAACCAAAGATGGCATTCGGACAACCAAATTAACACGTACGTCTTTTCAATTATAACCACCCTCTCCTCTTTGGTATTTCATACTTGAGTGGCATTTTGAGTCTCGTCGTTTTATCAATAATTGTAAGCTTTTTTTTCTCATTTCAGGAACCTGCTGAGATACTGCGCAACATGTGCCTGTAAGCAACCAAGCCTTTTGTTCGCAATCAGGAACCCCACGCCCATTCATGGATTTATTAGTTCAAAGCTGAATAAATGTCTTTTTCTGTTGTTGTTGTTGTTGTTGTTTTAAATTTCAATTTGAAATAATGATAATGGCAGTTCAGTGAAAGTACTGTATAAATAGAACAACTGTTCGAGTATTGGTTTGCTTTTGGGATTGACGATTTTCTGTGATATCTTGAAATATTGAACAGTAATTTTTTCAATTTTTGCAAAGACACCTAGTATTTGGTTAATGACAAATAATCTAGAAAATCCGGCATAATGTATCTAGTTTCTACCAACCCGCATTAGTAAATTGCATTTACAATCTTGCCTTTTGAAATCCATTGCAAGTTTTGTTCTATAGCATAATAGTCGCCCTCCAGAAGATTTCTTGGCCAATTTTATTAATACAGTTTAGATATATAAAGAATGGTGGTCTAAGATTGCGTTTTCCAATTCCCAATCTTTTCAAAAATTTGGCCTATTTAGAAATGATATTTAAAGCATATTACCAATTCCTTCGTGAATTGGCAGACCGATTTTGAATTCAAATAAATGTGCTGTAAATTGTGTACAAATTTGGTTTAAACTTTTTAGTAACTAGCTTTAAGAATGCCAATTAATGTTTCCTGCCTCTCAGAAGTAGATATCCCAAGCTCGACATTAATCGTAGTGAATCATATTTTGTTTGATGTTAAACTGCATTTTCATTGTGGGCTGGTTTTGTTTGTTTTCAATAACTTATTATGAGCATTATTTTGATGACAAATTCTGTTGTATTTTTTCATAGGCTTTTGTAATGAAAATTTGGCACTTAAATTTAAATTTCTCATAGTTAACTGTCCACTGTGTACGTTTTTATGATTTGGAAATAAAGCGTTGTATAAATATTGCTTGGCGCCCCTCACAATGGAATGGACTTTTCCATATGCCTTTTCACAAAGAGAATAGCCTCGCCCAACTTGCTTCCCCTCAGATGAATGTCCTTGTCCCACCTGTCACCCCTCGAGTGGAATGGACTCAACCTACCTGAAACCCCTCAATCAAAATGAACTGTTCCCACCTGACACCCCTCAAAGAGGAATGGACTCGCCCCACCTGACACCCCTCAAAGTGGAATGGACTCGCCCCACCTGACACCCCTCAAATTGAAATGGACTGTTCCCAACCTGACACCCCTCAAAATGGAATGGACTCGCCCCACCTGACACCCCTCAAA